GCGGAAGCGGAAGCGGAAGCGGAAGGCGGTGTCGCCATGGCAGCGCGGAAGCGGAAGCGGAAGCGGAAGGCGGTGTCGCCATGGCAGCGCGGAAGCGGAAGGCGCGGGCGATGGCGGCGGGCGGCGCGGCGCTGTGGCGGCGCCTCTCGGCCTGGCTGCCGCGGGGCCGCTTCGGCCTGGCCGCGCTGCTCGGCCGCCTCTCCGACCGCTTCTCCCGGGGCCGCGACCGCCGCGCCCGCAGGTAAGGAGCGGCCGGGCCCCCGCCGGCTCCCCGGGGCTGCGAGGCAGCGGAAGCCCTCGGTCGCCCCCGCAGTCGGTGTCGCACCGGGGCAATCCCCGCTCGGTTCCCTTTTCGGCCTGGCCCAGCCCCTTGGAAGCGCTGCAGAGGGGGAGAGTGGCAGCCCAGTGCCCCAGGCCGGGCTCGGGGTCGGCTCTGCACCCACAGCGTCCTTTAGCTCGCCCCACTGTCCCACCGCCTTTAGCACAACAGTTGAGCGTTATTTCTCTTTCATTTCCTATTTCCTTGCCTCTCCCTCTCATCGGGCGCCGGCCGATATCTCTTTTCCCAGGGCCAGGCTCCCCTCGGCTGTCACAGGTACAGCTCATCCCTCGGGACGGCGCCCGGGTTTGGGTGTTGGGAATAACCCGAGTGGGGCAGGGTGGGCACGGAGTGTGGGGAGTGACCGCGGAGTGGGGCAGAAACGGTGCCAGTTCCCTCTGTGACACAGAAACAGGTGTCAGTCCCCTCTGTGACACAGAAACAGTGCCAGTCCCCTCTGTGTTGGGACTGCGTCAGGCAGAGAGGGACTCTGGTGGCTGTGTCGGGTGACAGTGACCGGCGGCAGTGACTGTGGTGGCTGTCACTGGTGACAATGACAAGTGGCAGTGACTGTGGTGGCTGTGTCGGGTGACAGTGACAGGCGACAGTGACTGGTGATAGTGACCGGTGACTGTCACCGTGGTGTTGGAGGATCATCAATCTGCTCTGTGTTCTCGTTCACGCCAAGGAAATTGTTTCCACGCTTCTCATTTGGTCTCATCAGTGTTTTCAGGGCAGATAAATTAGGCTGAGCCCGGGGCAGCAATCACTGAGTTCAGAGAGCAGCAGTGTAGATCCCCCAGGTGATGTGTGTGAGGGAAACGATGGCATCATGAACCACGGTTTCACTTCACCTCTGGCTCTGCAGATGAAGTTTTACAGTGAATGAGARTTTCGACTCCACTGTGAGTTTCAGTACCAAACCTACATTTTCAAAAATAGAACACACCCCCAAAAGTTTGTCGTTTCTATTTAAGGTGACCTTTTTATTCGGAAAGGATCTGAGGTGGTTCCTGTTGGTTCTGTTTTATCTTTCTGGTTAATTCAGTGATGTGGAGCACATGGAAGGGGTTCCCCCCAGTCAGTTTTCTGTTCCTCTGAAACTGGTTTGTCACAGTGTGAAATTTTGATTATTTCTTCATAATGTTAGGTGGTTTCTGGTAGTTGTGTGTGTGGTTTTAAGGATTGTCTGTATTCTGGTAGTCACTGAGCTGATGTCAGTCACTGGGTACGAGCTGCTGCTTTGGGAACCAGTTGTTGTGCCAGTGGCTCTGTGGCTGGAGAAAAATACGGATTTATTTRATAATTCTAAAAGCCATAGGTTCTCAATGCTGAACAAGGTATAAATTTCAGTATTGGGTTCAAAGATCAAACAGTGTAGGCAGACTGTACAATACTTAGGGAATGAAAAATCTGAAGGATGGGATTAGTGGGGATAAATTGACCTACACCAAATTAATCCAGAGGTTTAAACCAAATAGAGCCAGCTGCCCCTGGCTCCAGACAGGGAGGCAAGTACAGTTGGACTTGCAATTCCAATAGTCCTTGCCAGAAAATGGCTTCTGGGAATCCTGTTTCTGGAAAGTGTCTGCTTGGCTGCTGCTCTGGCTTCTGGAAGTGTAATTGGGTTGGCCAGTGGAATAATGAGGACAGCATTCATCTCTGTTGATTGTTATGGTAAAATACATAAAATTTGCCAYTGCTTCCTCCCTGGGAATAATTCAGAGTTGTTTGTGACCCGCTGGGCTGGGTTAGAGTGTGACTATGCCACTGCTCTATGGGCTGAGCACTCAGTGGGTTTTAAACCCCCATGTTTCTGGATCCAGTGTGAATTCCTGTAGCTCTGTGTGCCRTGCTCCATTGCAGTGATGGAACAGTGGGAATCTGCTCTCCATGTSTGGCCTGTGAGGCTTGAGGTGAGCAAAGGTGTGTGAAGGTCCTGCTCAGCTTCTGTAGATTTATAAAAGTGTGCTTGAAAAGTGGTATTTCTTGTGTTTCTGTTCTGCTTTTTTTTTCTTTTATTTTTATTTTTTTTTTTTTTTTTTTTTGTTTTTAACAGCCTGTGCTGGTGATCTGTGTCTCTTCTGGGTATTCAGGCTGAGCCCAGTGCACATGATCTGTTGAAACCCGCCAYCCCAGGAATTCCTGCACTGATTGACTCAGATTTGGGTGCTGATGAATAGTTAGTGACAAACTCGTGGATTTTCCAGGAAATACCACTATGAACTGGTTTCCTTGTAAGGATGTTCGGAAATCTTGTGAAGATCCAGGGTTGTATCATGAACCAGATGAGTGAAATCATCTTCCTGGAATCTGTGGTCATTTGAGCTCTGGATTGTGGTGAAAAGCCAAAAGTTCCTCMTAACGAATTCTGGTAAAGGTTCTGCTCGGGTTTCTAATTGGTGTGTGGTGGCAGTGGAATTATCAGGATGGGCCACAGGATGGTGGCTGCTGCTGGCCCAAGGAGCTGAGGGTTCTCAGGGTGGGACCAGTCCCCCCAGTTCCATCCCTGCAGTTCTGCTGCCCATGAGTGGGGTTTGCAGACTGGAACGGTTCAGGGATACACTTCAGTCCCTTCTCAYTGATTCCTGGATCTCATGGGAGCTGCTGCTGCTAATTGTGTTGAAATGTGGTTTTGTCATGTGGACAGACTTCACGCTGGGGGTTATTCTGTGACTGGATGAATTTGCATGTGTGAAACCTCCAGAGAGGAGAAGTTGCTGCTTGCTTCCTGTCACTCCCTGCATGACGTTTGCAGTAAGCTGCTTTCTTCCCAAGTGACTTCAAAGAAATTAAACTTATTCTGAAAGTTCTTTTTGAAGAATGAGCTTCCTGCTGTTTCCCTCAYAGCTTTAGTGAGGTTTGCAGGGGAAATTGTGACCCTCTCTTGTAGTTGTGCAGAATGCTGGTGGCATTGCTGGAGAGGGATGGATCCCTGTTGGGGTTCTTGGCACATTCCTGCTGGGATATAGTCACTCCTTTTGTGGGTCATAATTGGGGTGCAACTGCTCTGCCTTTGCTGGGGCTCGCACTTGGGCACCTTGTGTGCTGTAGATCTATTTTTGGATAAGATTGAGGGATTGAGGCGTTTTTCTCTGTAGAGCAGTGTGATTTTTACACCTGAAATGGGAACAACTTCTGCCCAGCTGAGACCAAAGCTGGACATGAAGRGAGTGTTGTCCATGGCCAAGCTGATGTGTATGTGATGGAGATAATTCAGAGGTGGCTGGTTACAGGTTACAGGTCACAGGTTACAGGTACCACCCCAGCACTGCCAGACAGCTGAGCATCCACACTCTCAGTTTCTGCAGCTCCTTCCTGCCCCGTGTCGTCCTGATGAAGGAATTGTTTCTGCTCACCTCCATGCCAGCTCAGGGAAGGAGCTGCTGATGTTCAGATCTGTTCTCCCACGTTTTGCCTGTGTTTCTCTGTTTCCACACTTGGCTTTGGTGATCCAGATCAGATTATGGAAAGGGATTCGTGCTGTTGTGGATCCCTGCCATGTATTGCTCCTGCCTGCATCTCTTCCTTTATTTGCTTGGAGGCTTTCTGGGAAGCAAAGGTTTCACAATAAAGAATTTCTCCATCTTTCTTTGCACAGATCATCATGGCTCTTTCTRGCACCACTGCTCACCCCTCCTGTTCCAGTGATCACGGCCCCACCRTGTTTGCTCTGTCCAGAAGGAGCACACAGGTTCCAGTGGATCAGGAATTTGGTCCCAGAGTTTGGGATCTCCAGCTCGCATGTCAAGGTGCTTTCATCCCCTGTGGAATTCTAYGAACTCCTCAAGGTATGGTGAGGGCTCCAAGTTGTGGGAATGGTTTTGATACAATCCTGGTGTTGCAGCTGCTGCCTGATTGCATATGGAAGAGGTTTAGCTGCAGGGAATGTGTTCCTCAGTTTCTTAGCACTAATTTGTTGTGCTTGAATTCTTGTTTGAATTTTGGATGTGGCTCTACAGAGCCCGTGTGTTTTACATCATCACTATCCATGTGTTACCCTTTCCTCCCTCAAGGCCAGTGAGGCAGTGCAGAGATGGGGATGAAGGAATCCTCCCAGGGGATGATTATTCTGTGATTCCCAGGGGAGCACAGCCCTGGCAGCTCTGAGCTGATGGCTCTTCAGGATCACAAACCCTGTGTGAAACTGGATTTGTGTTTTGGTACTCCAGGTGCAGATAAAAGCAGCCAAGCAGCGSGTGGTGATGGCCTCACTGTATTTGGGAACAGGAGTCCTTGAGCAGGAGCTGGTGAGTATGGAAGGGTTTGGAAAGGAAGTGAATGCAGGGGAGGGATGTGGAAGGGAGGAATGTGATGCTTTGGGTTTAGGTCTGGTTCCTGGAGCCAGGAAACTGCAGCACTGATTCAGGGGGCAGTTAGTCTGGGCCTGTACACAAAGGACTGGCCTGGTGTTCATAGTGCTCAGGGGGGCTTTGTAAAACTCAGGTCATGGAAATCTCCTTTTCTGTGGCATTTTTCTTGAATGGGATTCAAGCTGTAGGTGTGTAGTGCTGTGTTTGGTGCTMCAGCTGCAGGACACAGGTGAGGGATTGGTTCTCTGCATTTGGGACCGAGGTCAGCTTTGCTTTATGCTATTTGCCTTTTTTTGTCTTTTCCTCTGGAAACAAAAGCATTTTTGCCCGAGGGCTTTAGGGAGAAGTCTGACCTTGGCCAGGTTCTGGTGTTAGGATGCAAATGCCCTAGCAGAGTAAAGCTGGAAAGAACCTGCACAGGATTTGTGCCCAGCTTTGTTTGGACTTGCACACAGGATTTGAATTTGCATTTGACAAACAACTTTTTACTTAAAGAGTAAAGCTGCAGTGAATTCCTACCCGTGTTTGTCTTTGGTGATGCAAATCTGTGATTTGGGAATGATATTGGGACTTTTTCTGCTAACATTAATTGCCCTTGGGAGGCCTGAACAATGTGGACATGTAAAACTGAGGCCCTTTGATCTGTGGCTTTAGGCTGCCAGAGCTGCCAGGCTGGCAGATGCAAGAGCTGAACTGGCTGTGCTTGGCACAAGGAGCAAGGACTTGCACCAGGGTGTGGGAGCTGTCTTGGCCATGGTCTCCTGCTGCTGAGCACTTCCCTTGGAAAGTGTGTTTACTTTTGTACTGAGGAGAGAACTGTCTCTGCAGGTGGATTGYTTAGAAGAAACACTGGAGAAATCGCTGCAAGCAAAAGGCTCACCTGACCTCAGAGTTTCCATTCTCCTCGACTACACCAGGGGTTCCCGGGGTAGGAGCTGCCTCTTTTCTTTTTTGTCACAGCCTGATTTTACTGTTAGTCTAGAGAGACAGTTCTTTTCAGAGTGTCTGTCTTGTTCAGTTGGAGCTACTTGCTTAAAGCATGCACCTTCCAGTATTGGCCTTTTGTATTCCAGAATGTATATTCCCAGAAAATCTTCAAGCTGAGCAGCATTTCTTCCAAAAATAGTTGCTAAGAGCAAGAAGGGCCAAACTGCTCTGTGTGACTTGTGCAGTCTTGCTTGGTTCATTTGTCAGTGCATTTACCCTTACCCATCGTGCTCGCTCCCATTTTCATTTTGAAAGGAGAGTGGAAATTGTTGGAAGCAGCAGCACACTGAATCAGGAACCTGTGACATCTGCAGTGACTCTTGTAGATGTATTACCAATGCTGCTGAGGTTTGGWTAAGAAGTTTGAGAAGTGTCAGACCTGCCCTGTGATTGATTCTGGATGTTGACACAGTGCTAATTTAAAAAAAACAAAGAAAAAAGGGAAAATGTGAAGTGCCAGTGGATGGGATGGGTGCCCACCCTGTGTCTCGTCTGTGTGATCTTTGTGTGGAACTCCCTTTCTCTCTCAGGCAAGAAGAATTCCCGGACCATGCTGCTGCCACTGCTGCAGAGATTTCCCGAGCAGGTCCGTGTGTCCCTGTTCCACACCCCAAACCTGCGGGGGCTCCTGCGCCTCCTGATCCCCGAGCGTTTCAATGAGACCATCGGGCTGCAGCACATCAAGGTCTATCTCTTTGATGACAAYGTGATCCTGAGTGGGTGAGTCCTGCTGCCTCCAGCCTTGGTGCAGATCGTTGATTTGGGAAGGGTGGCTGTGCTTCCAGAGCTGTCTGAACATCTGAGCTTTGCATTATGATCCTGTGAATGTTCTTCTGAGATGGGAGAGCAACCACAGTTCCTCCACATGAGATTCTCAGATGAAAGAGAGTCTTTCTTTAAGGGAAAAATATTTTGAGATTCTGAAGAAAATGGACAATTTATGCTTTAGTGCAGCTGTCTCAGAGTGAGGCCTGTAGCCTGKGCTGGGAGATTGAGAATCTTGTGCCCACGCTCTGAACTTGGCYCTTCCCTTTCTCTGCAGTGCAAACCTGAGTGATCTGTACTTCACCAATCGTCAGGACCGCTACGTCTTGCTGCAGGACTCTCCTGAGATTGCAGACTTCTTCACGGAGCTGGTGGATGCCATTGGAGATGTGTCCCTGCAGTTACAGCAGGATGATACCGTCCAGATGATGGAGGGAATGATACACCCCTACCAAGGTAGGAGGGAGTGGTTTCACTTGGTTGAGTGATGGAACTCAGAGGAGTTTAAGGATCATTTGGTCTCCATCCATTTGGGAATTGCTGGGTATCTGACTATTGTTCAGACTGTGGSTGTCCTGTTTTGTGTCATCCACTATTAAAATCAAGATTGCTCAAGTTTAGAACTGGGTCTGTTGGAGGTTTCCCAGCACAGTGGCTGTTCCAGTCTAATCTGGCAGGGTGTGCAGAGGCTGGAAATAACTCTGCAGCTGTCTCAGTGGTTTCTCCTAAATGTGCTGCTTTTGGCCTTAAGCAAGAACTTCAGTTCTTTGGGAATATGAGCAGTTGCAATTCCAGGTGCTCTGACTGTGCATGTTCTGAAGGGTTCATGAATGTTCTGCTATTGTTGGCAATTAATCTTTTATAGTAGRGTTTCTTCTCGCAATCAAATGGGAATTGGTTCAGGAAGACTGGAATTAGCGTAAAAGTGGGCAGAGAAGGGTGGTGATGTGTCAGGCTGATTGCATCATCAGTTTTTGTCCTGGCCTTGCAGTGCTGGATGATGTAAGGTCAGGCTGGGGGTGGGAGTTTATTTGTGTGTTTCAGCTCGTTCTTGGGTCTAAGTGTAGCCTTGCCCTGATTCTTTCTCAGAGRATTTTTCAGGCTGCTTCCAGTTGCCAAACATTTCTGTAGCCTAGCTCTGCCAACCTTGAAACGGCTGATTTGGGCCTTAGGACAGAGTCATGTCCACTCTGTGTTGTTTCCTATTTGTTCCCATATCCATGTCCTGTCAGTAGCTTTTCCTGGTGTGTAATAGATGACACGTAGCTCTGTGCCTGGAGGTCTCAGACACCATCTCTCTGTCTTTCTGCTGCAGGAGACAAGGTTGCTTACTGTGAGATTGCCAACAGGAGGGTCATGGAGGTCATCAACTCTGCCCGCACACGGCAGGAGCTCCTTCACACAAAGACTTTCCACAGCAGCCAGCCAGGCAGCTCCCTCTCATCCCAGCAAGGCTCTCAGGCATCTGGGATTGTGAAACCAGAGCCTGACACCTGGATCTATCCCTTAATCCAGATGAAACCCTTTGGGATTCAGATAGATGAGATGGTCACAGAGACGCTGCTCACCGAGGCTGAGCGGGATGCCAGGATATACCTGACCACTGGCTACTTCAACCTGACCCAGGCCTACATGGACCTGATCCTGGGCACCAGGGCTGAGTACCGCATCCTGCTGGCCTCGCCCGAGGTCAATGGGTTCTTTGGTGCCAAGGGGGTAGCTGGTGCCATCCCTGCTGCCTACGTTTACATTGAACACCAGTTTTACAGCGAGGTCTGCTACCTGCAGCAGCAGGAGAGGGTGCAGCTCCAGGAGTACTCCCGCACCGGCTGGACGTTCCATGCCAAAGGTAAGACACCCTTATCCCAGGGGTCTCCTTCAGAGGTGTGTGAGAGCTGCACATTTGGATGGGAAAGGAGTGAGGGGCTGGCTGGATGCCAGGCTGGGTTTTACCTTCCAAACTTTCCTGCAAGGTTCAAACAACTTGCTTGTGTAAACCTGGAAGGTTTACTTGAGGGATGCCTTGCCTTTGCATTTCTGGTTCGGTACAGTTCCAGGGATGATGTCAGAGCTGTCCCTGTGGTGGCGCTGAGACACTGCCTGGATGAGAAAYGTGATGTGAAGGAAAGGAAGCATCTGGATGTGTTTATGATGCAGTCAGGGCTGTGGTGCAGTTTCTTGTATCCCTTGGGCTGTTTTCAGCAGTCAGGAATGCTGACTGCAGTGKGGACCCTGGAGCGGGTGCCAGAGGGAGCAGGGTGTCACACCCTGCACAGYGTGATGGGAAATGCAGTGCAGGGAAACTCTTACCTCACACAGGATAGTGCAGGGGAGGGAGGTCCCTGCCTGCCTGGGATGTCCTGTGGCCTCCAGGAAACACGTGGTTGTGCAACCTGTGGTTCCCAGGTTCTGCCTTTGCTGGGCACTGCTAACTCCCAGTGGAATGTGGTTTGGCATGGATTGAGCCCAGAAACAAGAGCTGCTTTACCCAGATACCTAAGTACACATGGTCACTGGTCCCATTTGGGCCAGCTGGGCCTTGTGGGACAGCACTGTGGGCTCTCTRTTGTGGTGCTCACTTGGAGAGGGATGCAGGCCTTGGAGTTCAGCAGCTCCTGTCCTAGGAGAAGGGACAGGCAGAGACATTTGCTGCCTGGTTTCCATTCTCCTTCAGAGTGCTGGGAGGATCAGCATGCAGATCTTCCTCTGGCATGCTCTGCCCTTGGCACATGTTGGATTCACCTGGTTTCCTTCTGCAGAAATCATGTGGTGTTTGTAGCAGAGAGGACAAGGACAGGGAGGAAACCTTGGAGATGTGAAGGGCAGGTGGAAAAGGAGCACTTGTAGTGTAGCTCCTGATTGAGGACTTGRGATCCCCAGTAGCAAATGGTGCCTGTTGGTGCTTCCTCTCTGGGCTGAGACATGAGACACCCTTTAGCCTCCCACAGGATCTGACTGRCATACCCCAAACACTCTGGCTGTGCTGCAGGTCCCTCCTGCTGCCTGTAAAATGTTGGTATCCACATTCACAGTGGCAGGTGGAGTCCCCAGGGATGTCTCTGGTGTAGCAGAGTGCTGCACAGCTGGGGTGCATGTGTGAGCAGGACTGTCAGCAGTGTCCTGGTGTGACAGCCTGAAGCCTGCCTGCAGTTTTCCTGGGTGTGATGTTGTGGGTGACACGGGTACTTCCCTTGGGATCGGGGTCCCTTCCAGGCAAGTGCAGGTGGCAGGGTGCTGGGCAGGTGGCTGTGTGTTGTGAGCTGTTACAGCTATTGACTGGCACWGGGAATCTGCACTTCCCTTTGCTGGAAAGGTGAGTCACTGTTTGGGCAGATCTTGCCAGATGGCCGTAAAACCATAAAGGCTGTGGGACTGCCACAGGACACTTGGGAAGACRAGGAACTCATGGCTACTGCTTGGGCAGAGGTCCAGCCTTTGGTCAGGCACCAGACAGACCCTGGCGGGGTCCTTTTTTGTGGCAGAATGTGCCAAATSTCAGAGCTGTGGCTCGCAGAGGCTGTGCAGCCCCTCTGTGGTGGGGTGAGCCCGCACTCAGAGAGCCTGGAGCTGCTGCCAGCTCTGAGTGTGCTGTGGGGGCGGGGAGCAGCTTACAGGAACTGCTTGTGAATCGGCAGTGTCTTACTCAAGGCATTCTTGGAACTGCTCTGGGGCTGGGTTAGGAAACCTGCTGCTATTTTAAGGAGGAGGTGATTTTTATGCTACGGCTTCTTTGTTGCAGTCTGTGTGTGACCAGCTGTGGGGTAAACCTCTACCAGGAATCACCCAGGGCTGTGCTGGCGAGAGGGAAGCCTTTCTGCTTCCATTTGTGCAGAGCGACCACKCAGCCTCTCCTTGGCAGCAGTTCTGGCTCTGCTGGGGCTGTTCCTTCATTCCCTGCTGCAGTGGTGGGCTTGAGAATAATGTGGTGTTTCCATCTTTTTCCCTGAAAACCTGTCCTGGGCTCTGTCCTGCCAGCCCTCTGTGCTTGCAGAGCTGTGGGAGCTCTGGTGGTGAGTGGTGGCCTGGCAAGTGTCTGATCTCATCCCTGGTGGCTCCTCAGGAAATGAGGCAGTGAAATCATTTGCATTTCTCTTCTGCACAGTGGCATTTGAATTCACCTGCCAGAGCTGGGAGACACCTCTTCATATCCATGTGGGATGGAGGTTGGTCACTGGCTTGGGACAGGCTGGACAGACCTGGCCTATCTACCATGGGCTTTGGGGCTGGTCTCTTCACCTGTTTATCTTTTCTTGGTGTTTCTGAATTCACTGTGGTGCTAAAGAGCCTCTAATGCAGTGACAGGGACTGGTTCTGGGTTGTTTTGGGCAGTGTGTCCCTGGGGTGCAGGGGGTGCTGCACTCCCAGTCAGAGCACTCTGATTTGCCAGGGCACCCCGAGAGTCAGTGCAGGATCAGCCCTGCAGGCCCTGCTGAGCCTCTCTCTGCTCTCCACGTCCTGAACAAGATCTGTAATCTGTGTTTAATGCACTGAAGGGACCATGTGAGCCCCCCTTGGCCATTCCCTCGGGTCTCATGCTGCCTCTCTTGCTCATTTTTCCCACAGGCCTSTGGTTGTACCTGGCAGGGAGTGACCTGCCCTGCCTGACCCTGATTGGCTCTCCAAATTTTGGCTATCGATCCGTTCATCGCGATTTGGAAGCTCAGGTTGCCATAGTGACAGAAAATAAAGCCTTGCAGCAGCAGCTCCATCAGGTAAGGGGCGATTCTGGGATGCAGCAGGGATGTTTTACTTGGGTCACACGGGAATGCTGCTGATGCAATGGCAATAAAAACCTCCAGCTCCAATAACTCAGRAGCAGCTGGAGCATGGGGAGTCCTGAGGAGCTGTCAGTGAAGGGACTATTGATGAGCTGCCTGCTGCAAGTACCAGTGCTGGGAAATGAGGCCATAACGGGAAGGAATGTGTGTCCCCAGTGCCCTCGGGTACTGGGAGTGCTCAGGGCTGGATGTGCAGAGTGTTCAGAGGATCTGCTGCACCTCTGAGCCTTTCCCCAGCATTTGGGCATTGCCCAGGGCATGACGTGCTCTGGACTAACAAGGCCGGGCCCTTGGAACATCTGAGCTTGGACTGGAACAGGGTTTCTCTCTTAGCTGGGTTGCYCATGAAGTTCTATGACAAAATTCTTATCTTGAATAATAATATGACATTATATAATCTTGACACAAACATTGTTAAGTGATTTGATGCTCAGTGTGTCAGGGTTTTTCTGTGCTGTTATTTTTTTAATTAGGCAGYTTGGAATACTCAGCACTTCTGCTGCTGCTCTGAATCCTGCCTGCTTCTCCAGCAGTCTTGACTGAATCTTCTGCAGGAACTGACTGTCCCTGGTCATTTCTGCTGCAGTGYTCTGTTTCAAAGCAGATCAGTTCGATGCCTCTGTGTGTCTTGGAGACCTCAGAAATGCACTCTGTGAGGCAGGKCCTGGCAGAGTTGTCTGCAAGATCAATGGGAATTGCCCTCTTGCATCAGGGCTCTTCCCTGGGATGAGTCAGAGTGTATCTAATCAAAACCAATTCTATTRCTGGAAGAGTTGCTTGAATATTTCAATTCATATCTTGCCTCTGCTTGTTACTAATGGAAGGGGAAAATCAATSGAAATGTGACACAAAGGAATTTTCTCACACAGGGCTGCACTGATCTCATTCARAGGGTTTTAAACCATTCCGGATTGCTGGAAGCTGATTCTGAGATGGGCTTGGTGTTTACTTTCTGTGGTTTTGTTTAGAAGGCTGAATCCATTCCTGGGATGCTGCCATGAAATCACTTTGCCTRTGTAACATTCAGTTCCATTTTAAAAATGTGTGCTGAGATTTGGGAAGAAATGTGAGTGGTCTGGGTGTCTTTGGGTGCTTCTCTGAATGAACTGAGATTGATTCAGGGAACTGGCCTTGCCTCCAGTACTCAGAGCTCACCATATTGGATGGTGATGGAGCAGAATCCTCACAGTGGGGCTGACTGTAGCTCTTGGAGCATCTTGGGGGCTCTAAAATTGGCACACGAATGTCTTACTTCTGTTGTTGGTTCATCTTTTTGTTGTTACTTTGCATTACCTTGGTTCCTCCTTCCTTGTTCCACCCTGAATTTTAGTGCAGAGTATTTTCTACTGTTTGTGACAGCTTCAATTATAAAAAAAGATGGTGAACAAACTTCCAGGAGCTGTTCTGCTCCCTGTTTGCCTGCAGATCCTGAAATCTGACTGTTGGTGCTAAAAACCCACTCACCTGTGATCAGAGCACTGCTCTCCCGTGCTGTGAGTGTTATCAGCAGGGTGCTTCATTTCCTCCCCAGCAGTTGGGTACACCCTGTGGGGGCCCAGTGTTTCTGGGAATTGAGCTGAGATCACRACTGCACATTCATCTGCAAATGCAGCACATGAGCTGTGTCTAGAAAGAGCTGTGTAAGGCAGTCCTGGGAGGTTTGAGTGAGGTTTCCTTTTCTGGCAATTACAGGAGGGATTGAGGACTTCCTGAAACTGAAGCTCAGCTCTTACAACTGTGGGACACAAAGAGGCAAAACCGTCTACCCTTGTTCTCTGTAGAGTTTAAGTTGCAAATTCTTGAGGGAAAATGGTGMATCCTTTTGGCAGGATCCCTGGTCAGCTTTATCTGGGAATTTACTTCTCTGAAAGATCATTGTATAATTCAGTGCTCAGAATTTACTGAGATGATGTTTCTTTCACTGTTCAGGAGCAAGAGCAGCTTTACCTCTGCTCAGGTGTGGTCTCAACGTCAACGTTTGAGCAGCCAAATCGTTATGTGAAGCTGTGGGTGAAGCTGGTGACACCTCTGATCAAGAATTTCTTTTGAAAGAAGAAAAGTTGCTGCTTTGGGTGAGTTTGCTGCTATTATGGGATATTATATTGCACTGACTGCAGTGAATAGCTGCAGTGCTGTGTCACAAAAGACAGTGGAGATGTAGATGATGTGAAAACCAGGCACTCCTTGATTCCTCTGGGAATGGAGATTCTCCTGCCATGGATTGGGATCAGTGCTCAGGTCYAGACTGGGTTTCATCTGCTAGAATTTCTGGAAGTGCTGCTGACAAAGAACCCATACAGGGGTATTCCCCATGACTCATACAGTGGTATTTTCCATGTATGGAAATAAAATTCCCATTTCTRAAATGTCCCTTTCAGAGTTTCGTGGAGAGACTGTGTTTGTTTGATTATGACCGGCCAATAGAAAGCATTGCTGGAATAATTAAAGTGTTCTGTCTTTGTATCCAGTCAGGKCTTTGCTTTGCCCCTGCAGTGTTGGTTTGCAGGAGCAGTTGGTTTTGCTTTTCTGTTTTGTGGTGTCCTGGGTCTCCTGGATRTTCATGACTCAGGCCTTTGTGAGCTTCAGGACATCACTCCTGACTGATCTGTGCCGTGCCCTGTCCGTGCAGTTGCCAGTGGTGCACACATGTCCAGGATGCTGCATGTTCCCAAATCCYTTTTACWTACCTGTCAGTGGCCCCTCCCCAGCAGGGCTTTCACAGATATGAGTACCTTTCATGAGTTGTGGAGGGGCTGGAGAGGACTTTTGCTGCAGATGTAAGTTTGGGATGTTGCTTGCTGAAAATGGGAACCTTGAACCATAACATCCTGCAGAGCAGGTGGTTGGAAGCCAGGTAGAAACATGGGGGAGTGCAGGGTGAGGCTGCCCTGTGTCACTGGTGGGGTGTGAGCAAGGCTTTCTGACCTGGCAGTGCCACAAACAGCATTTCTGGYCCCTGAAAAAGGCTGATGGCAAGTGTGAAACTTGGTCAAAACTGAGCATAGATGCTGCTACTCTATAAAGAAGCAAGCCACTCTCTGTGYCTGCTCTTGGGGCTTCTCTGACTGTGAGCTGGGAGGGAACTTTTAGGCAGCTGTATTTTAGAACTAATTGTTCAAATATTTCACAGGGTGGGATTTTGGTGAATTGTTTTATGCCAAAGGGACTGGCCTTGGCAAATACCTTAATGTGTTACTGCTGATACAAATGATTTATTGTGAAGAAAGGGCCGAGTAGGTTGCCGAGTAGGCAACATCCCAAACCCTAGAAATAGGAATAACGTATTTCAGAGAGGGACCTGTTTGCAGCTGGACCTTCTCTGGGCTGTGCAGGTTTGGTGTGGGTGAACTGGACCAAACCTGCACATTCTTGTCCCATCTGCTCCAGCCAGACACGTGCTCCATGCAGGAGCATGAGGTGTTTGTGCTCAGTTTGCTCTGAGCCATCAYACAAAGAGCTGTGGGAACGTGGAGAGCCAGGAGAGGGAAAGGAGTCGGCACTTGCATGCAGTTTTTCTGTCTGGCTTCCCACGGTGGTCTGGCTCCCCACCAGCRCCACGTCAGAAACCACCAGTGGAAAACCAGTATCCGCCCTGAGAAGCCCACGTGCTGCAAGAGCAGCCTGCACACAGCAGCACTTCCAACTCTGCTTTTATTGAAATGTTCTAAAATGGTTCTGGTACAATCAAACATAGAGGTTTTTGCAAGTTTTTTTGCCTYGCTCTTTTCCTTTGTCACTGAACTCTAGGTCTCCAGGAGGAGAGCCACACCAGCCAGGACCCACTTGGCAGCTTTTTCTTTTGTCTTCAGGTTGAAGGTCCAGACGTAGGTGGGCCCCCGCGTCCGTGTCTTGTAGACGGGACACTCGTAGATGTTGATGGTGTCCATGCGGTCCACRGGGATGGCTCTGAGCAGGATCACCGGCATCTCGGGCGTCAGCTCCTTCATCCGCGCGTCGGCGATGGAGCCGGAGGGGATGTCCCAGCGGGCACCTGCAGTGACAGCAGCGTCAGGGGACCCTGCCACCTCCCGGGACTGCTCACAACTGCCATGCTGGGAGCTCGAGGCTTAACCTTGGGTAAAGTGGCGCAGTAGTATTTAGGGCTGACATGTTCTCATCTCACTGTGACCCAGGACTGCGTTTGCCTTACTGTGTGTGGGATGTCTGAATAAATTCTGTCCTCACCCTTCCCTTCAGCACGTCTTGGTATGGGAATTGCAGAATTTAAGGTGAACTGGCTGTGGTGGAATCTGTCAACACRCTGTCTGTCCCATGTGCTCTACTTTTATCCGAATGGACCCCTCAGCTGCTCTGCTGAACTGCTCCTTCCCCCTCATTTTAGCACTAATTATTATGGGCTTGAGTTTCCCAATTTGTCTTACTCAAGCATCAACTAAGAATGTGACATAGATAATCACGAGAGTCCTGTATCTCTGGGAGCCCTGGGGTTGGTGAGCCACAGCCTGAGTTGTGTGAGTGCTGCCCTCAGCAGGCGGCTGAGCCCGGTGGAGTTGGGACTGAGCCCGGTGGAGCCGGGACCGAGCCCGGTGGAGTTGGGACCGAGCTCGGTGGAGCCGGGACCGAGCCCGGTGGAGTTGGGACCGAGCCCGGTGGAGCCGGGGCCGTGCCCGGTGGAGCCGGGGCTGAGCTCGGTGGAGCCGGGACTGAGCTCGGTGGAGCCGGGACTGAGCTCGGTGGAGCCGGGACTGAGCTCGGTGGAGCCGGGGCCGAGCTCGGTGGAGCTGGGGCTGAGCCCGGTGGAGCTTGAGCTCCTCGCTCCTCGCTGTTGCCAGCAGCCACTGAGGGCAGAGCTGGGCCTGCTCCATGTCTCAAACATCTCAGAGATGCAGTTTTTACCTTCCATGTACAGCCCATGCACATAGGAGCCTTCTCGAGGGGGAAATGTTATCTCCTCGCGGGTTTTCTTGGTCACCTCCACTGCCAGACACATCTTGTCCAGTGGCCACTGCTTTTTCCTAGCTGTGGACTGCATGATGGCTGTGAGGAAGGATTGGGGGTTGAAGAATCCTGCCAGCCACACTGCTGCAGGCAGCACAAAATCTGTTGTCCAGACTTCCAGCTCCTAGAAAATAAACCAGCAGAGTCCTCAGGGTCAAAGGGTGCGCTGTGAGCTGCAGGACACTGTGATAGAGTTGATGCTTTGCTGTGCCTAACCCAAACTTCAGTTAATCTTGTAGAGTGGCTGGAGGTGGTTTGGGAGGAATAAACAGCAGATTCCTCTGCCACAATGAAGCTGAAACGCTGAATTCACAGTGCAGAAAATACTGCTGTTAGTTTTTAGCAAAGCCAGTTTTATTTATTTTTTAATGGGACACCCAGAGTTGCAGGGGGGTTGCTACAGTGAGGTACTGTAATGGGAACCCTAGTCACACTTGTGCTCTCATTCCTGGAGGAACAGCCCTTTTCAGGTACTTCAGGCTGGTTAAATACTGATAAATAAACCYCTCTCTGGTAGGGAGAGTCCTGGTCTCTGGGTATCTGCTTGCACCCCAAGCTCTGACTGTCACACCAGCTCTACTCACCCTGATCCGCAGGAGCAGGTCTGCATACCAGGTTGCCAAGCTGAGGAGAGAGGGATAGGCATAACGTGTCCAAGATTCTGGAACACTGTCATAGAAGAGAGCGTTTGACAGGTCTTCCATCTCGGATGTAATCGTCAGCTCTCCCTTTGAAAAAGAAAAGTCCAGGCAGTGGCACCTGCAGCATCTCCAGAGGGATGWGCTGGGGCTCAGAGCAGGAGCTGGGGCTGCCTGGCTGGATGGGTGAKAGCTGCAGCAAAGGCAGAGAGGGCTTTGCAAACACTGGGAGATGGTTTGGGCAGGTGCTGCTGTGTACCTGCAGTCCCAGGTCCAGCTCCTTCAGCGAGCGCCTGATCTCATGGGTCAGGATGTTCATCCTTTCACATTCCTGCAGGGCTACAACAGTGTACGGGGTTTTTTCCTTTGCCTTTGCCATCAACTCCTCCATGTTGAATGCCTCCGGCAGCTGCCCAAGGATTTCATCCAGGACTGTCTTCACCTGAAATGAGAATACCATAAATGAGAATGCTCCTACCTACCCAGAGAAAAATGCTGCAGGGTCACATTTAATTGGTAAGACTTCTTTTCCCCTGGTGTTTCTTCCTCCTCTGTTACTAATGCTCCATTCTGTTACTAACTGCTCTTGAGTCTTGAAAAACTAGAGCCCTTTTTTGATAGCCAAGGTAAAGACCTRAGACCGTGGTGGCTGTGAAATGCAAGTGTGAAGTCCGGGCAGTCAGGAAGAAGACTTCTTATAAAATAAATCTTTATCWTTGTTTTTAGTAGTTGCTATCATGAATGGAGGTTCCTCAGCCTGCCCCATCTGCTGAGGGGCCCCACGTGTTGCCAGTGGTGCATCCTGGCCCCATCAGGGTTTGAGGTTCCATGTTCCTGTGCTGCCATCCCGGGCTGATGGGCTCAGCATGGCTGGGCTGGAATCATCTCCCTCTGCTGTCCCTTCCTCGCTGCTGTGGGTTCTGTTCTCTCAGTTATGTCCATGCCTGTGTCTGTCTCCCCTGTTTAGCCTCTCAGCTGTCACCTTTGGGAGGTTTTTTTCCCCACTGTAATTACCTCCTSCTGCCTTAAAAAAACGCAGTTAAATTCTACTATAAAGAGACAAGACTTGACTTGCCTGTTCCTCTCGGGAGGTACCTGTGCCCCCAGCAGCCTCGGATTCCTTGGGCTGCAGTTCCAGCACCGTGCGGAAGAGCCTCTCYGAGGTGACGGTCAGGAATCCCATCTCTGCATTGGGGTGCAGCCCGTACAGGTGGGGACTCTCACCTGGCAGGTTGTCATCGATGTACTCGTGGTAGGCCTGAATGCAGGGCAGGGTAGCGTTAGCCTGGGGTACAGGCAAAGGAGCCCAAAGTTCCCTGCAGCCTCGAAAACCCGGCAGCAACCTCGGGGGCCCTTTGCAGCACCTGCCCGTGCGCACAGAGGCTCTTTTTAAATTTGTGTCTCAGCCAAGCTTTTCCCTTTCTACCTCAGAATTACATTTACAGCAATTCTGCACATTTCCAGGGGGTTGACACTTTGTCCCTACGCTCCCCTTCGTGTGTGTGAGAGAGCTTGGGTTCATGCATTTATCCAGAGCAGGGGTTTGCGGTGTTTCTTACCTGGTAATCCAWGCGGGGAGGGATCATAAAGCCCGGAGCCAAGGCCACCTCCCCATCGAGCATCTCGGCCCGCACGTACTCGCTCAGGTATGTGCGGCACAGCCGGCGGTCCCAATCGTCCGTGATGTGTCCCCCATACATGATCTCACCAAAGAGGTACCGGAGATCATCCCATGGCACCTGCACGAGGGGCTCAATCAGCCCCAGGGCCACCCAGTGATGGCCCCAGGACTGACCTGTGCAGTGTGCAGGGAGGTGACAAAGCCTCGGGGAGAGGGGTGTCTCTTGATYATCCACAGATTCCTCCTTGTCCCACTATGAACACAGCCATCTGCTGTTTTTCATCCCATCTTTTTTTCCAAACAGCACTGATAATGTCTGAGGGCAGGTCTAATGGTGACACTTCAGCCCGGCTCTCTGCATTCTTGAGGCAGGCTTTGCCTTTTTGGTGCAGCCATCCACCAGTCATGGGTGAGGGCAGSGGTTTGTCCTGGCTGGTGCCTGACACTCACCCAGCTCAGTCAGGCCAAGAACTCGTGCCCTTCTGCTGCCTGAGCATGCAGGGAGCAGGGCAGGGACTGCTTCTGGCCCTGGGCTCCTTCATGAGCCCGCATTTGTGCCACAARCTGGCCAATGTTCCAAGGAAGGGCGATTGTTGCAGTGTGTGCTGTGCTGTGCTGTGCTGAGGAGCACTCAGCCCCGTTATTCTCACCTTGGGGTTGGCCTCCAGGTAGTTTTGCAGGACGTTAACAGAGACGGTCAGGTCGCCGTTGTTGAAGGGGTATGATCTGTTCCAGCCCTGAGTGCCGAACCTGCGCCGCTCGGCCACCGCTGCGTGGAAGTAGCAAAGGGCAAACAAAATGCACCTGAACTCGGTGTCTTTGCTGCACTGCTCCAGCGTTTCCTGTGGACAAACAGTGAGGGTGGGTTGCAGTTGAACGTTACTTCTAGATGCCACTCTTGTGAAGAACATTCATAAGCAAAGAAGAACTGAAGGTGTTTATTACAAAAAAAAAAGGCATACGATTATATTTTAATGATTTGCCAGTTAGTAATTCTTGCACTTATCTGTTTATGACAGAATTAGGACTTCACACCCCAACACCTTGCTGACAGCTTGTTCATGGCAAAGCTGCAGCACTCCAGGTTCAGCCTCAGGAAAGCTCTGGCAACCCAGAACTGCCTTGTGCTGGAAACTCTTGGGCAGCTCTGGTTACCCCTAAAGCCCTTTCAGAGGGGACATCTGGGCACYCCAGGAGGATGTGCCAGCTTGGGCTGGCTACAGGTGCAGAGTCCCTGGAGCAGTGACACCCTCGGGGTGCAGCAGTGACACCCTTGGGGTGCTCAGTCTGGAGGGGATGAGCCCCACACGCTGACCAGAACRGTCCCAAGGAGCTCCTGGGGAAGGGAGGGGGTGCAGGGAGTACCTGGGAGAAGAGGTCGAGGGCTCCGTGSAGGTTGGCACACATGCCTGTGGGTGGCTCGCTGGTGATCTTGATGGAGTTGTCCAGCAGTCCCTGGGGGATGATGTGTGACTCGGGGGTGGGGGCYGGCTCGGCGCTCATGAACAGTCGGTACTCAGGGTGGCTGCCCTGGCTGTGTTGCTCCACCAGCTTCTCCAGYGAGTCCAGCCACCGTGCCACCAGGTGAATGTTCTGCAACAGAAACCCTCTGGAGCTGGTGAATCTCATCTCCCCCCCCAATTCCTACTGTGGCTCCACGGGGAGAAGGTGCAGCACAACACAACTGCTGGGGTGGGGCACAGCCAGCTAACCCAGGCAGTGTCACTGCTGTCACTGTGGGGTGACCATGCACATGTGCCCAGATGCTGGCAGGAATTTTTGCCCTGGTATGGCCGGTTGCAGTCAGGGCTGTGCACCCCGTGGTGTCCCCAGTGCCCCTCACCCACCTGCAGGATGACCCAGTGGCCCTCTGCAGCTGCCACCTCCATGGCCTGCTCTGCCACCACCTCCTGGCCTTGCCCCAGGGATACGTTGTGGATCTTGCCGTTGTCGATGGTGAAATTCAGCCTGGTGCCTGGAGGGGAATGYCYGCTGTTATTACCAGAATCGGTGCCRAGCTGGGGCTGTGCAGTTCCAGCCCCTCRGCCCCRCAGCAGCTCAYGGCCYTKGGGCTGTGCCAGCCTGGGRCRGGCAGAGCCTCACCCAGAGCCTCCACGTCCTTCAGCGGGTCCACACCGGGGGAGAGAATGAAGAACAGGGGCGTGGAGGGGCTGCTCTCCTTGTACACCTCAGCCAGATCAATGCTCCTTCCTTCCACGTACTTCCTGCCCATCTTCTCTTCCACAAATTTCCTRCAGAAAAATAAAACCACCCTGTGAGTGTGGAGCAGTCACTGTTTGCAGCTGGTGTGGTGGCACTGGGGTTCCTGCAGGAGAGCCCTGTGCTGGGCACCATGTACCTGATGGCATAGGTCATCCTGTCAGGGCGCAGGCACCGCAGAACACACAACTTCTGCAGGGCTGACTTGTTCTTCCAGTCCATGGGRAACACCTCATTCTCCGGCGCCTCCATCTCCACAAACCTTTTCCATCGCTTTGCTGAGCCCTCGATGTCGCTCTCCAGGTTCTTGAATTCTTCCATTTCTGAAAGTGCCTTCAGGTTCCACAGAGAAGGACCAAATCACTCAGGGAGCACCTGCAGGTGACCCGAGTCCCGCTGCACTGTGCTGGCATTGCCTTGGCACAGTGGGTGACTGTGCAGACCCACCTTGACAGCCCCCCAGCCCTGGTTCTGCAGRAAATCCACAGGGGACGTGACCCCGGCCTTGGAAGGCAAGCGCAGGAGAAAGTCCAGCTCGGCTGGGTTCACTTCTTTCTTGATGGCCAGGACCTGGAAGTTGGGAGTGCAGCGTCACAGCCACCCAACGCCCACAGCCCCAGTGTGAGGGGCAAGAGGCTCTGACAACCCAGCAGCAGCACCAGACAAAGAGAACAACCTGGCTAAAGCCACACGAACGCCTGTTGGACAGCCCCAGAGCTTTGCAGGGATTACCTGGAAGGCAACCTGAGCCAGGAAGATGAGTTTGTCTCTCTCAAAGAGGCCCTGTGCAGTGTACATGTAGACTGAGTAGGTGATCTGGTCYGTCAGGTTGATCACCCTTTTCTGGGTGTCGTCGCTGGGTGTTGCACGTTCGATGGCTTTCTCRAAGACCCCGTTGAAGGCCTGAGGAAGATCCCGGCAGCATCAGCATCTGGCAGCTGGTGCCTCATCAGCCACGTGAAAGCTGAAACACTCACTCTCCGTGCTCCTCCAGGTCTGTCCCACCCACAGACACCTCTGTCCCTCCTTGCTCCCCATTTACCTTGAGAGAGAACTGGTAGATGGGGTTGATCTTGCCGAGGTCGCTCAGGATGAAGTACAGTAGGGATGCACGCTCTGCTGCTGGCCGGTAGTGCTCTCTGGCAACGTTTATTTGTACTTCAGTGACTTTGGCTTCCTTTACCTGGAGGCACAGGGGGATGAGTGTTAGCAGAACCCTGTCATGTGTCAAAGCAGTGCCCACCCTCCCTCTGGGTGCTGATCTGAGCAGTCCCTCTGCCTGTGGCACCAGCTCGGGGCAGCACGTTTACTTTTTCCTCAATTTCCTTGGCTGTGCGCTTGGTGATCTCCAGGTTCTCCACCAGGGCTGTGTCCCGCAGGAAATCTCCCCCAGCAGCCGACAGCCGGGCGAGCAGGGAGTCCTCCAGCTCCTTCAGCTTGATCTTGAACTCGTTCTGGCTCTTGGTCAGGTTTGCCTGTGACAGAATGCCCAGGGATGTGTCACTTGGAGATTGCCACCGAGTGCTGGCACCGGTCACCAATGAGGTGGTAAGGCCACCAATGCACGGGTGTGAGGGGAGGGTGGATGTGGCCCCTCCTGGGACCCTCTGCCACCCCCAGGGTGAGGTGACAACACACCCAGGCAGTGCTGGCTGTGGGGACAATGGGGGACATGGAGTGGCAGGGTCTGGCTGGGACCAACGGCAGTGAGCACACGGAGGAGAGCTCTTGTTCCTCACCCCAAAACCTCCACATATGGAGGAGAGCTCTCACTCCCACCCCAAAATCTCCACACACCGAGGGGAACTCTCGCTCCCCACCCCAAAACCTCCACACACAGAGGAGAGCTCTTGTTCCTCACCCCAAAACCTCCACACATGGAGGAGAGCTCTCGCTCCCCACCCCAAAACCTCCACACATGGAGGAGAGCTCTYKYTCCYCACCCCAAAACCTCCACACATGGAGGAGAGCTCTCGCTCCCCACCCCAAAACCTCCACACAYGGAGGAGAGCTCTCRYTCCYCACCCCAAAACCTCSGCAGTGCCCCCATTTCTCCCACCCCTGCCAKCAGCCCGGGCTGTACCTTCAGGGTCTCCAGGTCTGGTCGCTCCCGGGCCACCACAGCAGCCAGGAGCTGGTCCTCCAGGCCCTCCCGTGTCACCAGGAAGTTGATGAGAGTGCACTGAGCCTGCACCTCTGGTTTGTAGTGCGGGTTGAAACATCGGGTGTGCAGGATCAGGCGGAACCGCTGGTGGTACTCTACTTCTTTATCTCCAATTCTAATGTACCTGTTCAGTTAATTAAACAAATTAATCACTACCCACTGGGCAGTAAYGCATCAGAGAGAGATGCCCTCAGCCTGTGCCCTGTTCCTGGCTGCTTGGGATGAATTTCTTTGGCTGGGAAAAGGCACAGCAAGGGCAGCAGTACCAAACCAACGCTGGCAGGGCAAGGGTGAAGGAGCAGGAGCTGGGCACTGCTGTGCCACAGCCTGYCATGAATTCTGGGGTGCTGCTCCCCTTCCAGCTTATCATGGCAGCTGTCCCAGGGAATATGGCCTTAAATCACTAARTGAACTGGATGCTGAGGGCCACAACAGCCAAAAAGGCCATAATTAGTACAGGTGTCCTCTGTGGGACATGCWGGAGAACACAGAGGGATATGGCCAAAGCCAAAGAAGGATCAGCCCCTGCTGCCCACACTGAAGGTGCATCTACAGCRTTTTGGGGCTGCAGTGCTGCTCAGAGCAGGTGAAAGCTCTCWCTCTGGGGTGTGCTGACCTGCCCTTGGCTGTGGTCCTGCCCAGCAGCGGGTCCAGCACCGGCTCCACTGTCTCACCRATGTCCTCGATCAGGAGTGTCTGTCCTTCAGAGACGGCCTGTGCGATGGTGTCCAGGTATCTGAGGGACACAGGGGAGGGATGAAGGGCAGTCTGTGCACTGTGACGGGCTTGGGCTGCTGCGTGGGGCTCACGGAGTGCTTTCCACCCACTGTGCCCTGTTGGGATCCTGCTGTGCTCTGCCAGCGGGGCCCAGAGAGCCTCTGGAGATGGGTGAGCCATCTCACCAGTGTGGGGTTAGGGTTGGGGTTGGGGTTAGTGTTTGGATTAGGGCTGCTGCCCTCGGGTGCTCCGTTTCCTTTGGGTGACGTTATTGCCCTGACTCTTCACCCTTCAATGGCAGGAAAGGGGATCTGCTGCAGCCCAAGCCTTCACGAACCCACAGCCCCTGACCCACCTTTTCTGGCCCAGGCGGACGATCCTGAGGTCCTCCCCGTATTTGTTCTTGATCCACTTGCTGCCCTGGAGCTGTGCATCCACGAGCAGCGGCCAGCGCTGGGTGCTGCACAGGATGGCCGCGTTCTCGGTCGAGGTGCGGTCGCTGGGCAGCCCCTGGTTGTTCCAGGCAGCCACRTCGGCCGAGTCCGTCAGGAGGCTGAGCGGGTCCAGGTCTGGGGTGATGGGGATGGGCACCTGCAGGGAGGGGCTGTTGGTGCCCGGCTGCAGAGGGCTGGTGGCCACCGGGGCTGGTGGCCACGGGGAAAGSAGTCCCGGGCACTCTGGGGTGGAGCCTCTCACCGTCTGCCCTTTGAGGAAGGGGAGCCAGTGCTGCTCCAGCAGCTCAGCCCTGTACTTCTTGGTGAAGTACCCGATGTAGGACACGAAGGCAGAGACCAGCAGCACRTCCCCACACAGCGTCTTCTCCTGCTCCCTGAGGTCCTCCACGGACTCAGCCCAGCGGACGTTTTCGGATGCCAGGCCCCCGACSAGCCTGGGAGTCAGAGAGGATGGTACTGGTGGGGACACACTCATGGTCACCCAGGGCGTTATCACCAAACCTCTCTGTGGCTGGCCCAATTAATTTCAGAATGTTTTAATTTGGTGAGGGTGTGGGGRGCTCTGCTGCTGCCATGGCTCCGGTGTCACGGTCACCAGGCGATGCCAGGAGCAGCAGCCTGCCCTGATTCGTTACCAGCTTTGCAYGGTACCTGTTTGCCAGGTTGATGACTTTGTTGGTTTCATCAGCCTCCTGCTGGCATTTGATCTTTTCTGCTGTGGCTTTCTCAAACTGAGCAGTCAGAGTCGCCAGATTTGCGTTCAGGGTCTTTGGAAGAGAGCAGCCCCAGAGTTATTTCCTGCCCAGACAGGMGGCTCCAAGGTCCTGGAGCCCCATCCCAGCAGTGCTTGGGCTGGGCTCTGGGTTCATGGGGCTCTTTCTCTCGTTTGGTGACTCAGGGGCGTGTGGCAGGGCCCGTGGGCACAAACACTTACAGCAATTTTGTTCTTGATACGACTGAGTCTCTGCTGTGCCTCTGCCAGCTCAGCATCAGCGTCAGCCACTGCCTGTCTCTTGGGCTTCACTATGCAGTGCACCTCGTAGAATCGGACCATGTTGAGGCACCAGGAGCACAGCCCRGCCGCGGCCGTTGACTTGGACTTGATGAACTCTGGATCAAAGTTGGGATCTGTCCGATATGGCCTGGAACAGGAGCACACTGTGCTGTGGCACTGCACTGCCCCCGGGGCTTGGGGGACAGGGTGGGACAGCAGGGTGACAGCAGGGTGACAGCAGGATGACAGCACCCTCTGGGTGACAGCAGGGTGACAGCACCCTCTGGGTGACAGCACCCTCTGGGTCCCACTCCTGTCCCCAAACCCCACTGTTTTCCAAGGATCCCCCCTGGCCGCCCATTCAGGGGGTGACAAGGGCTGCAAAGGGACAGGAATCAGTCACAAACTCACTCAAAYGCCTTGAGACAGGGCTCAGGGATGTTCTCCCCATCAAATTGTTTTAAGGCTGCAAGGAAAGTGTCTGCTTTTCCTATCTTGACTTTTGCTGCCGTCCAGCTCTTGTCCTTTGGAATCTTGCCTTTTTCAGCCGTCAGGATCAACACAGCTGCCATCACATTCACCACCTCTGGTGGTGGGGACCCAAAGGACTTCAGCTCTGTCAGGTTGTACTGGGGAGGGAGCACAGAGCCACTGAGCATCACCCTGGCCAGGGCTGTTGGTACCTGCTGCCCCCTGAGAGCTCACCCACCTTGTTGAGCGTGTCGAGAGCCTCACGGGCAGCGGAGAGCACCACCTCTGCTTCTGCCAGATCACTGGCACAGGCTCGCTGCTTCTCAGCCACCATCTGGGGAGGGAGGGAGGACACGGCATGGGTTAGGGGCTGCAAGCACAGAGCTCACACGGTTGTGCACACCCTGGACACCAGCTCAGCACTTTGCACCTTGTTGATGGCCTCGACCTTCAGCTCCTCCTCATCAGCAATGGCTTTCTCCTTGCTGACCTTCTCTGTCTCAACACCCACCACGTGGATCAGTTTGTCTGTGTCCTCATTCTTTTGCTTCAGCTCTATCTCCTGGACTGCCAGCATGGCTTTCAGGTCATCCACCTCAATGAGGGAAGAAAAAAAAACCAGATAAGAGGGTTGATCCTGCCAAACCTCACCTGGTGGAGCAGCAGTGTCTTGGGATGGCTTGGGGACTGTGACCACCCTGCAGGGACGTGCCAGCTCTCTACAGCTCTGTATGATGCACAAGACAGGCTGTGGACAGGCACCTGTGATGCTGTGCTCTGCAGCTTCAGCAGCCCCTTCTCCAGTCTCTCGATGTTGGCTGTCAGCTTGCTCCTTTTACTGGCCAGCAGATTTTGGTACAGCTTTATCTGCTCCAGGAAGGTCTTTGGCGTGGTGTAATTATAGCGTCTCTCCACRGCCAGGTAGGTCTTGGACATCTCCTTTGAGCTCGTGTGGACGAAGGACATGAACTGGCTGATGGAGACCTTGACGTCGGGCTGCACAGGAGAGAGAGAGAGCTGCTGCAGTGGGGGCTGTGGGGACAGCAGTGGCTGCACTGACCCCTCCCAATGCTGGCTCCATGTCCGGCTGCAGAGCCTCTCAAAGTGACAGCAAAGTGACCCTCTCATCAGCAGCACAGCCTGGGACAGACACACCAGTGCTCAAGGAACTGGTCCTGATTCCCCACCCAGCACTGCAGCCCTGACATCCCTGCGTGGGGAAACCCTGCTGTCCCTGGGCTGCTGCCTGTGGGGGTGTTTCAGTGACAGAAAGGAAATGAGGGGACCTTTGTCCTCACCCACACAGTGCAGGGCTGAGGCTGTGACCCTGGAACCAGTTGTAAGCTTATCCCAAATCCCAGCCTGCTGTTCCCAGCCCCCTGGATCATGCCAGGCTCCCAACCCTGGGCACAGTACACCAGGAGAGCAGCAGAGGTGCAGCTCACTGCCCAGTGCAGCCCAGGATCCCCAGTGCAGCCCAGGATCCCCAGTGCAGCTCAGGATCCCCAGTATCAGGACAGCAGCTCACCTCGATGTCTGGCGTTTCCTCCAGGAACCTGCTGCTGACAGACACCAGAGCATCCTCGGGCCACTCGTGGAACCAGTCGATGGCCGTGCAGTTGACCACAGCAGGGAACCTCCTGGCCCTCACACGCAGCGTGGAGCCCACGGGGGAGAAGCAGAGCACGACCTGGAGCAGAGCAGCACTGCTGAGAGGCTGTCCCTGCTGTCGGGTTGGGGAGCGTTTCCAGAGGCTCTGTGAGGATTATGCTGCCTTGGCATTATCTCCCAGCGAGCAGGAGGCTCTCTGTGCCTCTCAGCAGGGCTGGCACCGGGTCCCCTCTGGTGCCTGCACTCAGGGGGCTCTTGTGGTGTCCTGTGAGTGCCCAGCACGCTGTGTGGAAGCTGCTGACCCCCGGGGAGGTCAGTACAGGGCTGTTCTGTGCCTCTGGGGCTCGGGGCACCTGGGGAGTCCCTGAGCACACCTTTTACCCAAACCCACCACTTTGGGATGAAAACTTGGTGTTTGTGGCCTGTTGCAAAGAGTTTTTTGGATCAGGCAAATCAGGGACATGGACAAACCAACCTGGGGAGACAACACCCACCTTTAACTGGCGCCTGACTTTTTCTATAAATAATTTCCAGCAGTTTTCCTTTGTATCTTCCAATCCAAGGGACTTCACTTGAGGCCTCATGGCACTCATGATGGTATCCAGGTCAGCATCCTGAAAGAGGCCTGGCACCTCTCCGGAYGCCAAGAAATCATTGATCAGAACGAGGAATGATTCTTCAGACACCTGCGAGTCTGTCATCAGGAACACRGAGGGAATGTTCTTCACAGCTGCCTTCAGGTACTGGGTGGCGAGGTCCAGCTGGGACAGAGAGAAGTGTCACCCCCCAGTGCCACCCCMAAGAGCTCTCCAGAGCTGCAAGGGAGCCCTTGGGAAGGAGCTGGTGCCAGCTGCTGTGCCCAGGCTGCCCATGCCACCCCTGCTGCCAGCAGCAGCTCCTGCCCATGCAGTGGGGAAGCWCTGTGCCCCTGGGACAGGACTGGGTGTAAATGCAGTGTCACAGGGAGCACAGAGCCTCCTGAGCCCACCCCAGGCAGGGCAGGAGCCATGCCCAAGCAGCTGGCACTGACCCAGGGCACACAGCTGCTCCCACCTTCAGGTCTGCAGTGCTGTAGCCTTTCCTCAGGGTGATCTGGAAGACGCTCAGGGTGCTGATGTGAGCTGCCAGCCGTGCCAGGCTCTGCTTTCCGCTGCCTCCCACTCCCACCAGCAGAGCATTGCCCCGGGGAGACTCCAAAATCCGGCTAATTCTGCAGATGTGAGACACTGCATCTTCAAAGAGCACCTGCAGGAAAGAGGGGAATGTTTGGTGTTGTGTTTAATGCACCACCACTGCTGCAGTCCCAGCGTTTTGGGGAGCTGCCTGCCGTGGGCACTCACCAGGTTCATGGCTGCGTTCACCTCGTTGTAGCTGTCCAGAGCTTCTGCCAGCAGGTTACTCAGAGCTGCCCAGCTGTGCACGGGCAKGTACTTGGACTCATCCATGCCCTGGGCGAAGTGGCAGTAGATGTTGGGCTTGGCAAACACCGCCTCTTCGTTGAGCTCCTGSGARAGGCAATTCCAGCTGTGGGGCWYCCAGGGAGCACCCCCGGGCCCTACAAACACTGCTTTTCAGCACAGTTACCTGGAAGGAGGCTTTGCAGGTGTCCACCAGCAGCTTGCTGAAGGTGSTCTGGTCCTGTTCATCCACAAGCTTGTCTCCATACACCCGCTCTGCTTCATGGAGCCACAGACGCAGCAAATCCACGGGGGTTTTCAGGCAGTCGGGGGTGGAGAAGAGCAGCCCCTGACAAACACAAAAATGCCTCAGCCCTCAGGGGTATTTTAGTGTGGCTCAGATTGCTAAGGCTGGCTCGGGGAAGAGGCAAGGTCCTTTTCAAAGACAAGCTATGCTGCAAGGAGATGGGGTGAGGAAAGGGAGGAATAAGGATATTTTAGAAGAAACAGCTCTCCCRCTACCTGGAATATGTTGGAGAGGTCCCGCAGGTTGAAGATGTAGTGGAATTTGATGGCTGTTGGCAGATAGTTGGAAGCCACCTTCTGATGCAGGGCTGTTGGCAGGACAGGGGGTGAGTGGGCACAGAGAGCTCTGGATCCCAGAGCAATCCTGGGCTGCTCCCATCCCCTGCCAGGCTCACCCAGCGCTGCTGCCACCAGATGGGACTGCATCTTCAGGACAGGGGCGGGCACGTTCTGGCGGGCCAGGTGCTGCTCCAGGATGGTGCCGTACACGTTGTGCAGAGCCTCCCGGCTGGGAAAGCTCACGGCGAGCACGCAGAAGTGGCGCTGCAGAAAGGGACACAAATGTGTTGGGTACTTTTCCACACAGGACTGATGAGCTGAGCGGCACTGCAGGGTCCCGTGCCCCGTTCASCCCCTGGGCTGTGGTGCCAGGGCAGTGGATGTGCCAGCCCTGCCCACCTGCAGCCGTGAGTCGATGGTGAAGGAGCCTGCGGTCGGGTTCATGCAGGCCACGTACTGGCAGTTGCGAATGTCCTTCAGGGTCAGCTTGTTCCTGTCGTACCTGTGCAGGGACCAGCACTGTGACATTTTTTCCAGGGATGGGGACAGAATCCCCCCTCCATCGTGTGTGCCCGTCCAGCACCCACCAGTGCCCATGGTCCAGGTGCTGCCGGATGAGCGTGTGCGGTGCCACRGTGCCGTACTTGTCCACCTCTGGCATGTTCATGTCATCGATGAAGTAGATCAACCTTTTAGTGCCGGGTGGGCCATAAACTCTCCCTGATTTCTTCTCCAGGGGTTTCTCAAGGACAGCTACAGCAGGGTAGGTGAGTGGTGGTCAGTGCTGTGGGACCCTGCAGCACAGCTCGGTGCAGGGCTGAGTGCCAGCTCTGCCAGCCTTACCCTGCAGCATGGCTGATGTGGTGTAGAAGTTGAGGGGCACAGACTGCACCAGAAATTCTTCWGAGCCGAGTGCTTCCAGCTTGTCCCACATCAGGACAGACTTGCCCGTCCCTGCGTTCCCCACCAGCATCACCGGCTGCCGCTTCTCCATCAGCAGGTCCAGGAAATAGCGGAGCCGAATGGTCTCTGTGGTGTGCACCACGGCAGCCTGAGGAGAGCCACTGTCAGTCCCTGTGCCTGGCATTGGCATTGGCACAGGCAGCATCCTCTGCTGGAGCAGCAGCCAGAGCCCTGCACAGCATTTCCAGCAGCTCCAACACTCTGCACCCAAACCTGGTTCCTCTCTAAAGCAGCAGCTCTTGGGTGCTCTACGAGAACCATTTTCTGACCAAAAACCAAGTTATCACACAGAACAGCATGGACAGTTCCTGAAAGCACCAAACCCAACCACAGCTACTGTCCCTGGCAGCTTAGATGACCCCCGCACAATGCCATTGTAAGAGACACAAATTGAATGCTAAAGGACATTTTGCACTCAGGCAATAGTAACAGCTATTTTGTGAGACACTGAAGCTGCAGGTTCATCTGAAGGTAAAGGAGATGGGGAACTCTCAGCCCTTGCTGAGGCCTCTGCAGGGTAAAGGGACCCACAGGAGGCTGTTGGGTTTGATGGGTGCTGCCAGTCCAAATCCTGCTGATGCTCCAGGCATTGCTGAGGGTGGAGTGATAGTCAAATAAACCATATAAACCATATAAACATAGAGCTTGTGGGAAATACCTGCAAGGGGACTTCAGGGTCGAGCTCGAACTCTGGCACTCTTTCATCCCAGGGATTGAATTTCTTMGTTTCTGGATCAATGTAGTAGTCAAAAATTGTCCCCTGACTAGGAAACTTGATGGTTTTAAATTCTGTGATCCACCACTTGCTGAACTGCTGGCGGTAATCCACCAGCTGGAGGGAAAACAGAGATACTCAGGCACTGGCCACAGGTTGGGATGCAGAGAGGGGTGGCGGGTGCTGGGCAGTCCCATGACTGTACCTGGTCCTGGAACAAAGCCCCACCGAAGGCCCAGGCACAGGCAAAGACAAAGTACAGTTCATATTGCTCCCGAGGTGAGTCTGGTGGGACAGCCTTTGGTGTCAGCAGACATTCTAACAGCGACAAAACTGTTTGTATGGATGTGATCTCAGGAACAGGGGTGATTGTCTTGAACCCAGACTTGAGCTTCTCCAGGCACGGCGGCAGGTACTTGTCAAAGAGGATCATCAGAGCAGCCTTCTCAGACTGCACTGTCCTTGTCTCAATCCAGCTGGTCACAATGCTGGGGGAGAGACGAGCAGGGCTGCAGCAACA